TCCAGATGCTGGACTACAACTCCTGTATACCTCGTTATTAGATTCAGTAACATCTGGAAACCTGCAACCTTTTCTGTTTAATCAGGATAGTGGAGATTGAATTTTGCTACAAGCCTTAATGATAATAATAATAATAATAATAATAATAATAATAATAATAATAATTCAACAGCCAGCAGAGTGTCTGCTGTGGACTCATCTTGTTGTGTATCTAATAATAATAATAATAATAATAATACTGGGGACTCATCTTGTTGTGTTTCAAATAATAATAATAATAATAATAATTCTATCCCACCACCATCTCCCTAAAGGGGACTCGGGGCGGCTTACAAGACGCCAAGCCCAAGAATTACAATCAAGCAAAATAAAATACAAACAAGCAAATAACAATATCAAAATAAAATGCAAAACAATAACAAAATATACAATAAAACAATGCAAAATAAAATGGTAGTAAAATTAGAGCACAGCGGGCGGGCCAAATGCAAAGGGTAAAATTTCTAAAAACTTTGTGAATATGATGTATGACTTTAATGACTATATCACATTGGGCTAAAATCGATGGCATATGCCAATTTTAGCCCAGGGCACCCACGGAGCTGGCCAGCTCACATCACATGATGCTGTGCTGGCTCTGCGGGTGAAGGAGGGCAGAGCTGGTGCATGTCGCTGGCAGGGCAACACAGGAGAGTTCCCATGTTGCCATTAAATCTATGGGGGAAGTCACACGCGTTCATGCTTCTGCCCATATGATCACACTCCCATGGATCCAGACAATGCAGTGCATGGGGTGCTGGAGTCCCCATGTTCCTCTCCATGCAGAGCGCCACCATGACCAGTCATCTGATGAGGTGGTAAAATGTCTTTTAACTTTTCCCCAGCCTCAGAGCCACAAGTGCCATTGGGCTACAATTCCCATAATCTCAATTCAGCATGGTGGATAATCAAAAGTGATGGGAATTGCCATTCAATATCATCTGGGGATTCAAGTCGGATAAAAACCTAATGTAGAACTCAAGGACAAGTTTTCAACCAAAATTATGGATTTTGATATGACTCATGGATAAGCCAAGGCTAATTCCATAGAGAGGAAAAAGCACCAGCACTGCTTCAGGGGCTCATCTGACTCTGGACCACTACCATTATAATGTAATGGCATTCAAAAATGGCAGCACCAGCACTATGGCTGAGAGAGTAAACTTCTTTTAGCTTCTCCCTAAACTGACTAAGCTCCTGCCTTTCACAACTCCAAGCAGAGATGGTTCCTTGTTTTCATAAAAAGTAAATTACAGTATTTACCTTGACCTGTGGATAAATCAACCAGGGTTCTTTGGTTGACCTTTTGACTAAGACTTATACATGAGTGTATGCAGTAAGCTGAAGTTTTCATCCTACATGCATGCAAATATATCACTTACATTTCTCATTATATGACCAAACAACAGTTGATAAGTCCCAGTGAGATACATGTGAGGAAAAAGACAACATCTCCTTTGTAGAGTCCATGCTTTATATCCCGAAGGTCCAGCACTCAATCTTTGGCACCTCTGAGAAGACATTGTTGTGAAAATGTCATATCAGCTAATATTGACACTGCAGAACTATGTGGGAGATTACTTTGTTTTAGCATAAAGGAAGCTTTCCATTGGTTGGTGTTACACATTCACATATGTTGATCGTGACCAGTCAATATCTATCTGAAATTACCTAGAGCAGCTCACTTGCTCTCAGCAACAGATCCTTAGACTTGAAAAAAGTAATACTTGTGGACCTCCTCACAGCAATATTGGACTTTGCTAATTTTGGGGGAGGGAAAGGTGAACCGAGTAACAATAATCTATTCTCTTTTATTTGAGACTATCCATTTGGTAGGGTCTTTTAAAAAATCAAATAAAAAGAACATTATGTTAAATAAAAGCATATGTGGCCTTAAAATATAATGGAAATCTGAATTATACAAGCAGCAAAAATGGACATAAAAAGTCAATACTCCACAAGTAATTATCATTTTAAAAAATCCCTTAATCTGATTGTATATTTATTAAAACCCTTTATTAGACAAAGATTGATTTGCTTTATTTTAAGGGGCTCAGCTCCCCCATTCCTCCTCCTCCTCCTCTCTAATTTTTACTGAGAGAAAATGTTAAAGTGGCAAACCATGTTAGGATCACTGTTATCTTGTGTGACGCTTGCAAAGCCATTTTAAAAATTTAACTCCAAATGTCACACTTCATCATGCAGCTGTCAGCCATTGTTGCTTCTTAATGTGTTGAATTAAATTGTGTAGACACCAAGTTTGACATGTGTTAACGCAACAATTAAAACAAAAAGGGGAGAAAGTCCCATTCCATGCATATGAGGATTGACAAAAGCAAACAAAAATGGAGAACTAGTAAGAAAAACACATTTCGAAACTAATTGCACCACTGACTAGACATCTTCCTAAGCCTAGATGTGATGGGCCAAGGGCTGTCACTTCTCTCAAGAAGGAAGCATTTTAACAGCACCTAACTACATACCTGGATTTTCCTCATTGTTCACTACAGGCTTCCAAGTAACTTGAGGAACAACAACTAAAATACCTCGTGGATTTTATTATTTACATATACGATTAAGTGCAGAGCTTTTGAAGAACTGGCTCTATCTAAAACAAAGATGGAATTCATGATTGCAAGGTAAAGGATTGTAAGGAGCAGGTTGTTACAAGTTCATGGCAAAGTTGAGTTGCTGGGTTGCAACTCCTTTTTGCTTTGTGGATCTACAGCCCCTTGCCAATGGAGTGAAAAGAGCAATAGACTTGGTAGGATAGCAACATGCTTTATCGCTTGGACATTGGTCCTGGCAAGGGGGGTGGTGCGGGGCAAGAATCAATCTTTCCTCTGTGAATTTGGATAAAAGAATGGAAATCAGCTCCTGGGACCTTCCAGGAGTCAAAAAGATCCGGACTGAACAGAAGGGAGAGAACAGCAGGGCAGGGGGTTGGACTAGATAGCCCATGAGGTCCCTTCCAACTCTAGGATTCTATGATATAACTTAAGAAACATTCATTTTTCAGCCTCATGCATAAATATAGTCAGGTTCTTGGTATCTACTGGAGTCAGATTATAGATCCTCGCATGACTACCAAAACCTGAAGTTGCTCAAATGGTATAGTAAAATCGTGTCCCTGATATAAAATAGAAATATCGGAGATTGAGATAATCTGGAGAGGCCCTGCTCTCAACCACGCCTCCTTTGCAGGCGTGGTTGGTGGGAACGAGAGACAGGGCCTTTTCAGTGATGGCTCTTTAGCTGTGAAACTCCCTCCCCAGTGATATTAAATCAGCCCCTTCCCTCCTGACTTTCAGAAAAAAAGGTGAAAGCCTTCGGCAACTAATACAGTGCAGTTGATGGTTTGGATTCATGTGTAATGATCACTGGAATGGCCTGACCTTGATTGTGGATAATGTGATTTTATAGCTGCAAGTGGTATTGTTTATGTTTTAATTGCTTTTAACCTCATTTAGATTTTCAAGTGAATGTTTATTTAACTGTTGAATTGTTTAAGACATTGAATTTCGCCTATACTATAAGCCGCCTTGCGTCCCCTTCGGGGTCAAGAAAGATGGGATATAAATATAGTAAATAAATAAGGTTTATGTATAGGATTAAAAATATTTTCAAGCCATGGTTGGCTGAATCTGTGAATACAGAGGACCAACTGTACATATAACAGCAACACACTGTATTATTCACATTGGTAAAGCATCTTTTAAAAATTATACTGAACAGAACATACCGAATGGGCTTATAATAGATGTAAACAAAGAGCTGAATATCCCAAATATAATGAAAAGAAATTCAATACTGGGGTTGAAGAAAGCCTACAGAGGGATTAATTGATTTGGACATAAGATAGCTTATTTAGAAAAGAGTTAAATAGCATGGAGTGATTGGATGAATGAAATATAGGTACAAAGGAACAAGAAATGACAAATACAAAGATCAGTGAGGATATTATGGTGGAAAAAAGCAAGGATGAAAACAAAAAAAGAGATGAAAACATATCAGAATGTTTTAACAGCTAGAGGGTTTTTCTTTAAGTATCCCTTAAAAATAATTCTGGAAGCATTATTATAAACAAGAGAACAGCTGAGGTTACATTCCCAAAGAGTTGTAAACACAATGTACATTATGTAAGCACATATATGCTTTTGACCACCACTAGAACTCTCTAACCCAAAGACTTCACGCACACAATAGCTGCTCTTGCACTTATATTTCTGGCTACTGCTACCAAGTCCCTTTCACACTACAGCCTTGCAAGTCCCATAGTTCACATCTTTTTCCTTTGTTGTAGCACATGCTGCTGAGAGGAGGCAAACATCAATGTCAGAGTTTCAAGAGAGACACAAATTATGTCAGCTTTTCAGAGAATGCTGGATGCCGTCTGCACCAGATCTCTCTATATGTGGTAGCACCTTTACCATTTTGACATTCATATCCTCACGGTGAGACACAAGTGTCTTGAGAGAGAGAGAGAGACATTATTTAAACAGGATCACAATTCTTTGTTAACTCCCTGACTGATGTGACTCCTTCTTAAGGAGCAGTAAAAATATTAACATAAAGCCTTGTCAAATATACTGAAAATATTGCTTGACATGTCATACGCTAGAGGCAACAGGTATAGTATAAATAGTGTTCAACAGATTTCATTTGGATAATACATGCATCATAACCAAATTATGTTCTGGATCATCTGAAGTAAGGAATTATGAAAAACCCATTATCTAAGGAAGTGCACCCATTTATAATTTGTTTCTAAAACCATGTAGATTTCAATGCATAAAGAATGTGTGAAATGAAAATTATGGTGAGGTATAAATGACAGCAAAATTCACTCCATTGCTTTCTTCACCTCCAACTTTTATAATGCAGTGTTGCTATATTTCAATATTTGTAACACAAACATATGCTCTAATTGTTATGCCATTAAGAAAGTAACCAACCATTACCTGCACTTCGTAAGTTGGGATCTAAATCAGGCATCTCTTTACAAGCTTCTGGGCTGACACTGTATATAGATGCACCCGCCTCATTGGTAATGCTGCAAAACAGAAAGCAAATGATCAAAAACATGTTGAACACACTGAATGGGGCAGAAGACGATTTCTTGCATTTTAAAACAGCTGTAATACTTTGTACATCACGAAGTACCCACATATAGACAAATGCTGTGTTTAAAAATAATAATACAGGAACAAACCTCAGAATAAACTGCATCAGCCACTACATGACAGCCCTCCTTCAGTAAGATCCCAAGCTGGTATTCTAAAGCGTATTTATATTCAGAAGTAATTTGAACCAAAATTATTTATTTTCAATTATTTGGAATCTGAGCTAGAAGTCTATACTGGCTATGCTTTGACATTGAGAAATGCTTGAAAATGCGTATCATTTGTTGCATTTGTATTTGAGTTTGATATATGTGTGTGTGTGTATATATATATGTGTGTATGTATGTGTGTGTGTATATATGTGTGTGTGTGTGTGTGTGTGTGGTGATGATGATGATGATAATGGCAAATTAAATCCAGCATATATACTTGTTTGCTGTGTCAAACTATGTTTTTGTGTCAGTTTAATAATAATAATAAAACTTTATAGACTGCCCTCTCTCCCCGAGGAGACTCTGAGTGGTTTACATCACAAAAAGGCAAATATTCAATACCCAGACAAATGCAAAAAACCAATTACAATAATGCAATAAAATAAACATAGTAATGACAGTGAACTATATAAAAATAGACGTCGAAATGAAAAACAAGATACAAATAATCACATAGAAACAGGTTCCACTAATCACATACTCAAAATTAAAACATCTCAAATGATAAAAACAATTAAACAAAAGGGAAATTGGCTGATTATAGTTGTTCTTGAAGTGTACCCAAGTGAAAGACTGCAAGCATAAATACACCGAAGGGTTGAGTGTGTTATTTTTGCAGCTGAATAAAAACCGATTGCACTACTGTTAGCTACATTGCCAGAATTATATTTTAGAGTTTCAATGTAGCCACTCAGAACTGACTAGTATACATGTAAACGTGTCAAGATCACTTTCCACAGATGTTACCTATCTTTTATTTTTACGATTACAATAATTTTTCTTTGGTTTTTATGAGTTTTATACACACACCTGAAGATCCTCTGCCCAGGAATTGAGGGAGTCGTTACATTTATCGTGACAAAAACATACTGTCTTTGCAATATAGTGGGATACGCACTGCTCACATTCAATGCTACATGACATGAAATCTTAATGCATTTAAAAATAGATCTAATGAAAATAAAGATGTCTAAATATGCAACTGAATGAACCTCTGTCCTAAAGCATTTTGGAAATTGAAAAAGAGCTAAACAGTCATCCAATACCCCTTTATTTAATTGTTTTCGGTGTTACGTTATATTATTTACGTAAGCCACATCTATGCCAGCAATAAGATATGAATCCCTTTTCACCGGAACAATATTAATCAGTTCTGAATGGTTACACAGAAATTCTAAAATATAATTCTGGCCTTGTAGCTAACTGTAGTGCCATCAGTTTTTATTCAGCTGCAAAAATAACACACTCACCCGTTCAGTGTATATATGCTTGCTGTCTTTCAAACACACACACATATATCAAACTCAAAACACAAATGCAAAAAGTGATATGCATTTTCAAGCATTCCTCAATGTCAAAGCACAGCCAGTTCACAAAACTGTGACTTTCTTTTAAGAAGAAGAAGCTGTATTCTGTTATTATTCGGTCTCCCCACAAGGCACTGTGACTTTTTCCCCTACAGCTGTCTCCTCTAAAGGCAACCAGAGTCACAACATCAAGTCGAGGGCCAATCTCAACATACAAAGCGACCAAATCCAAGCTACAAACGTACAAGGCAGGAGTATCAATTTTCCTTGGTTTAAGGCACACTGAAATGCCCCCAACGCTTTCAGAAAGAGTCAGATGTGAAAGCAGACTGAAATAACCATCAAAGCTGAACAGTATTTGTAATATATATATAAAAAACTTAGCTTGGAATTTGTAAAGAGAGGATCCGCTAGAAGAAAATGAACTCCTTTCCCTCGACTACTGAAAAACTTTCAGACTGAATATCATTAAAGAAAACAATGGCATTTCTGTTCATGGCAAAGAACCAGCCCTTAGAAAAGATCTACAGGTCGGAGCTGAGTTTTTATTCATGTAGTCAAAGACGAAGTAGAGCACGGATGCTCAAACTGCTTAATATATGTGTATATATAATTTATAATAAGATATGCTTGCACAGATTAATAATGCATATCAATAACACACACACGCATTTTCCTAGTGCAACCAAATTACAGGATGAAATCAAAAAGCCAAAATCAAAAAGCCAAAATATTTTAGATAACTGCAATACTTTCAAAACGCTCTGCCTTATAAGAATTCGCAGAGAAATGTAGATTAGAAAAATAATAGAGGAATGATTAACTTTTTAGGAGGAGCTGAAACAAACACCATTCTTTACATTGCACTTTTCCTCCTTTTTTTTTTTCTTTTGTTTTCCAAGTCTCTGATTCACAAGTAAAATTTATATTGATTATCCGGTTTTGAAAAGTTATTTTTCCACACTCAAAGGATATTGCAGTGCCATCACTGAAAAATACTTTAGAGTGCTAAAAATCCTAATTAAGTTTCTTTCTGAACTCTAGTGAAGACAGAAAGTCCTCACAAAAACCTCAGAATGCTGCTAAATATTCTGCCGGAAAACATCTACAAATGGGTTTGAATGTACAAATCGAGCTACTGGTCAGTTTCTCTGAGCACTCTTGCCAAATACATATGGACATGATTAATATCATTTTCTAAAACGCATCAAAAATTGCCAAAATCTTATTAATTTGACCTCAAAACAGTGTAACAATAAAAAGTAGATAACAATAAAAATAATACATAGATTTTCAAAACATAATGAGATGAAAATATGTAATGAACTTTAAAATTTGTTAAAAAGTCTGAATGTAATCAATACCTTATTGATTTTCACCACTCAATATCTGAGTAATTTAATCAATGAATATTGATCAATTCACTACTGTCCCCGACATCACTCCAATAAGAAAAATAATAATCCACTCCTATCTGAAGACTTTTAAATTAGATGCTTACAAATAAACAAAATCATAGACACAAACAAACAATAAAATGGTTTTACAGGGGAAAATGTTATTTATTCCATGTGCATAGTTTTGACCATTTTCCCCATGTGATTGCAGATACAAATTGGATAGCAATGCTCAGCCATGCATGTCATTCATTTTATAATATGCAGATCAAGAAAAGTGGTTTATTGCCAGGCCTTCAAAAAACCCCATATACACAACTTGTACATTCCAATGTAGAACACAAACTACCATGCAAGAAGTTGATTTCGGTGCCCTTTTGGGAAGACAAAATGTAGCCAGCCGCAGAGGGGAAGATTAAAGACGTAACCAAAGCTTTATTTTTGCAAAGGTGAAATATAATTTCTGCTGAAAGTGCATCCCCTCCAACAAATGCAATTACATTTATTGCAGTTCAAATTTGAGAATGCCCTCATGAAACAGAAGGCTACTGTGAATGAACAGAAGAACAAGTTTATAACAAATGCATTCGTTTCCCCCTTTCTTAGCCAGCGTTTTATAGAGGTGCTGTGATTTATTTCTAAATGGCACCAGCAGGCTTGCCAGTGTGAATTAGGGGAAATAGAGCATTCGTAATCACTGCGATCACAAGTATATATTTCAAGCAAAGTGGGGAAAAATAGTTGGGAATGCCATTGTTCCAGTCAGTGCTCAAAATGGTCTGAATAGAATGCTGTTCCATTCTTTTCAGGGGATGGTAGCAAACACCAAAAACTATTCTACTTCTTTTCAATAGACATAATTTTCAATTGTTTTATGTTCATGTACATCAGTTAAAGGTCTTTGGGCATAAATATTTTAATTAAATGAAAGAATACCACAGAGTTTCTATCACACTATGATTCAGGTCACAGTGGACACTATGAGCCATAGGGAGAGGCAAATAAACAACAACAACAACAACAACAACAACAACAACAACAACAACACAAGGAGAACGGAATCAAATGGATATTAACTAGATCTATCTTTTAAAACTAGATTATTATTATTATTATTATTATTATTATTATTATTATTATTATTATTATTTCTTCAATGCCATTGTCCATTCTACGGAACCTTGAGATTTGAAGTTCAGTGCCTCTAGCTGACAATTCCCACCCTAAACTGCAAATCCCAGCTAAAAAAGAATCATAGCACTTTATAAGAATCTGTCCCTTAGGACACTGAGTGATGCCAAAACCCAACTGGCAACCATCACCCAGAGGACCTTTTCATCGGCTGCCCCACGACTGTGGAATGACCTGCCAGCTGAAGTAGCTGTCGGAATTTGAAACACATCTGAATACTATCTCTTCCAGCAGGTTTACCCAGCCAACTCTGAATCATGAGTTTTTAATTTGCATTCTATTGCCACTATGTTGATTTGGTGTATGTGTTTGGTGTATTATTTTTTATAATTGTGTGTTATACTGTTGTTTTAATTGTTAACCATTTAATTGCTGTTTTTATATGTTATTGTATTTGTGTGGGCACCAAGATGTGCCTTTTTGTAAGCCGCCCTGAGTCCCCCCTCAGGGGTTGAGAAGGGCGGGGTAGAAGTATACGAAATAAATAAATAAATGTTGATCTATGTATTTTATTGTATGCATTTTATATTCATATGTTTTGACTTTGTTGTATCTCGCCTCGAGCCATTAGGAGAGGCAGACACCAAATAAAATGCATATTACTATGATGATGATGACAATGAAGGAGTGTGAAATTGCCCCAGATGAGGAATATTGCCAACACAGAATTGAGCTGAATTCTTTAAATAAAAATAAGAAAATATCCATATCAGATGGCTCAGATGTCAAAGGTGGCCAGAACAGTCTTTGCACAATTAAAACTTGTATTCCAGCTGCAACCATACCTTGAGAAGCCAGACTTAGCCATGGTAGTCCATTCCTT